TTGTGGTGGCACAAAATGTGAAAACTGCAAACAAATATTCCACCAAGATTTGTCTTTGCCCAGAAAGAAGAATGGAATATAAAGAAAAAGGATTAGAAGTGTGGGGTCTGGGAATGCAGTTCAGATGTACAGCATGTGCTCAGCATGCATGAAGCCCGTGGTTTGATCTCCAGCACCAACAAAAATTTCGTGGTATGTAGTGTCACATGCCTATAATCCCAGCCCTTGGGAGGCTGCAGCAGGTGGATTACCACGTGTTTCAGGCCAGTCTAAGCTATACAGAGAGTTCAACGCCAGCCTGACCTACATACTTTGTCTCAAAAAAAAAAAAAGAAAATAGAGGGTGTCATAAAACATGGAGAAGTCAGTGTGATGGCATATGCCAATAATTCCAGTACTCTGGGATACCGAGGCAAAACGATAAAAAAATTTAAGCCCGGCCTGGGCAATTTAGTGACTTAACAAGACCCTGTAACAAAAATAGACTAGAAAAGGATCTGGGGATGGAGTCCAGTGTGAAGATCCTGAGTTCAATCCATAGAACTCTCCTGCAAAATAATAATAATAATAATAATAATAATAATAATAATAATAATAATAATGATAGCGGGGTGTGGTGACTCATGCCTGTAATCCCAGCACTCGGGAGGCTGAGGCATGAGGATCATTGTTAGTTTGAGGCCAGCCTGGGCTACAAAGTGAGCTCAAGGCCAGCCGGAACTGCACAGTGAGACCCTGTCTCAAAAAAAAAACCATAATAATAATAATAAAGAAAAAGGTGTTTCTATCATCACTGAGGGCAAAGCAGTCAAAATTCCCTGGAGCTATTACAAAGGAATTAAATACAAAGTATTTCTAACAAATGCTAAGGTGTTTAAGCAGAGTCAAAAGATTCCTCCTGTGGGTGTTCACAAGGAAGCAACCTAACTACTTCTGAGGAGAACAAGGAGAGTCATGGGAATAGCTAAGGCAAGCCAAGCAGGTGGCCTACAAAGTTCAGAGAATAGAAGAAGCAGAACCCTGAGCTACCAAAATGGGGATCTGGATGTGCAGTCTCTTCATAGCCCAGGGAACACCGGCTACCAGTTACAAACAGAACAGTGAAGGAGAGACTAATCAACAGCCAACCATAAATGAAGCTCTCATTCAGTCTGTTTTTGACCAAAACTGCAGAGGTGAACTAACTTATTAATTGATGCTTACATTAACTTAGAATGCCAGCCTCAAGTCTTGAATGTGAAGTGTGAGTTTCAACCAGAACTCCAATAAGGAAAAAATGGCATTAAACATTTACCAAATCTAACTTTTAAAAAAATATTTAATCTGTATAATGTGAAAGTGAGGTGTGTATAAACATTCATGAGTGAATATGGATTTAATACCTACAGCACAGGAAGTTGTTCAAAGTAGCCCTGCAAATGACCCATCAAGTATAAAACTGCATGAAAGATTCTGATTTAGATCTAGAATGTCCCTCAAACCTGTTGCACTCAGAGGCAGAGCTTTTGGGAGCTGACTGGATGGTGGGGCTGCCATACTTATCAGTGGAGTCATCTAGTAACTTGAGTCAGCAGCTGAGTGTGCACTGGGGCCACCCATCTATGAATTGAATCCTTAAAGAAACGGAGCCAAAGTAAACCTCCTGCTTTAAGTTGGGGTGCCAGGTATTTTGTTCCAGTGATGTTAAAATGACTAAGACAAAAGAGGAAATGCATTAGCCAAGTTGGATTATTAATAACAATAGGCATTTTCAGAGAACCAGGAAAGATATAAGAAAGGAAAAATGCTACTAGCACAGAATGGAAGGGGGACAGCAAGTACACAGTAAGAGAAAGTACTCGCATGAAGAGAAAGGAAGTATTTCCTGAGTGCTTATTGTATTCTAGGATCTACTGTTAGGTACTGTACACAAGTATCTCATAGAATCTTCACAGCAATTTCTATTATCCCCAATTTACAGAAGAGGAAATAAAAATTCCCAAAGGTCAAGTAACACACAAAGATTCATGTGGATATCCAAAGACACTAAGACTCACAGGCTCTTCTACCTGATACCTAAGCTGGAAGGAAAACATTATCTAAGAAGGCAGAGAGACGGAAGAAAATAGATTTACTTTGTTAGCTACGTATACTCGGCTGTTATTAAAATTTAGAGAAGGTGCTCAGTAGAAGCAACTTCAATTTAAAATAGAGGTTGGATTTTTCAGAGAAGAAAACAGTAAGAGTCAAATAATTGAGGGTATCGTACTTTTTCTGTTGTTGTTTTGTTTTGTTTTGAGACAAGCTAGCCTGGGCTATATAATTGTTATGTATTTCAGACTAGCCTTGAACTCACCAAGTAACCCAGGGTGGCCCTAAACTCACAGGAATCCTGCTGCCTCAGCCTCCTGAGTGTTCAGAGTCTATGCAGGCATCACCATGCCCAGAAAGAGGGCATGTTAGTTATTCTCCCATCACTGAGACACAGCATTCAATACTCACACTTTAAAGAAGGAAAAGTTTGGCTCACAGTTTGTAGAGGATTAAGTCTGATGGCTCCAAGGCAAGACAGCATGGTTGAGAAAAGCTGCTCATGGCATGGCAGACAGGAAGCACGGAGAATAAAGGGAGGAGCTGGGAAGGGAGATACAACCTTCTGTGTGATAACCAAGTGACCACCTCTTTCCCACTAGGCTCCACATCCTAACAGCAAGTCAGCTATAAAGCCTCTATTCATCACCTTCTGAAGGTCCCACCTATGACCATAGGAGGCTTTAGGAGACATCTAGAAATAATAAACCGTAATAGAGGGACTTTAAGTTAATCAGTATCCATTCAGTGACTTAATAAAGATTTGCTGAGGGCCTGCTCTGCACTAGGACTCAAGTATGTAACAGCAATCAAAATACTAATTCCCACTGTCATGGAGCATACACTGCAAGGAAGGAGACAAACTCATACAGAATTACCAACCAGGGAAAGGGTTGTGAAGGAAAGGCAAAGTATGTCATGATAGCATCCAAAAAGGGCACTTACTCAAGGATGGTGGAAAGATCAGAGATAGCTCCCTTGGGAAACTGACATTTTAAACTAGGGCATGAAGTGTGTGTGTGTGGTGGTGCACGCCTGCATTCCCAGCACTTGGGAAGAGAATTGCCAAGAGTTCAAACCTAGCCTGGATTACATAGTGAGATCAAGGCCAGCCTGAACACAGGGACACCCCGTCTCAAGAAAACAAAACAAAACAAAATTGTGTATACATTATGATCTCAATAACATATTAATATAGTTGGTATACAGTGAAATTATGGGTGATTTCTTTATACTGTTAAATATTCCATGTCTTATATAGCTATATATTACTCTGATTTGTTTTGTTGGCCTTGAACTTTTGATCCTCCTGCCTCAGCTTCCTGAATAACTGGTGTTATAGACATGTATCATTGCACTCTGCCACATATTACTTTTGTATATTACATGACTTTAAAAGAGAACAAATAAATCAGGGTATCTTTCGATAGAAGGAAGGATAATTAGGGCTAGGGATACAGCTTAGTAGTGGAGCACTTTCCTAGCTTATGTGAGCCCCTGAGTTCAACCCCATCTCTGCAATTAAATAAAACAAAAAGGAGGAGAAGGAGAAATGATTCTGTAAGATTTAAAATCAGGCCAGGCGTGGTGGTGCATGCCCGTAATCCCAGCACTTGGGGAACTGAGGTGAGAGGTTTGCCACAAGTTTAAGGCAAGCCTGGGGTACACAGTGAGTTTGAGGCCAACCTGAACTACACAGTAAGATCCAGTCTCAAAAAAATGAAAGATTTAAAATCAGGAAAAAGAACAAAGGACTGAGATGGACAGAGTTTGTTAATGGAAGTGTGACTGGCAATACTAGAACATGGCAGAAGGTTTGTGACAGTCCCATGGGGACACAAAGGACTGTAAGGTAACACCGGGTGCAACCTGGGACCTTTAGAGACCAAAACAAAATGGTAGGGATCAGTACTGTTGTTGTGAAGACACTGTAAATTATTTGTAGAGTGCTTTCAAAACACCAAGCTCCTCCAGTGATTCAGCACAAGAAGCCCAGTGATCAGTACTGTAACCAGAAAGACTGTTTCAAGTGAGCTCGGATCATGTTTTGGGAAACTGGCTTAAGACTGAGCCGATCATGGTGAGTTTGAGAACAGCCTGGGCTACAAAGTGAGCTAAAGGCCAGCCTGAACTGCATAGCGAGACCCTGTCTCAAAAAGACAAAAAAAAAAAGTGCAGGCTGTTGGTCTACCACAGTTTTAGGGGGTCAGGAATATAGCTCAGCGGACTTGTGCCTGCCGGGCAAGCCCAAGATCCCCAGTTTGATTCCCAGAACCAAAAAAAAAAAAAAAAAAAGAGAAAAGAAAAGAAGAGAAAAGAAAAAGACTGAGCTGGGAATGGTGGTACACATCTGTAATCATGGCACTTGAGAGGCTGAGGCAGGCACATCACTGTGAATCTGAGGCCATCCTGGGCTATATAGTGAGTTCAAGGCCAGCCTGTAGAACTAGAGGCATAGCCCATGTGAAAGGCCCTGGGTTCAATCCCCAGTACTGCAAGGCCAGCCTGAGCTATGTACTGAGACAAGTCTGGCCTGATAGCAACAGACAAATCAATGGGCATGGAAAAGTTAGGTCTCTGTTCCATCTTTCCAGTTATGTAGGGAGGCTGGGGATGTAACTCAGTGGTAGAGCACTTGCCTAGCATGTGTGGGGCTCTAGGTTCCTTCCCAGTACCATAAAAACAAAAGACAGAAACAAAGCAAAACAAAACAAATCCCTACAGAGTAAGTCTACAATTCAGAATGTTGTTTTCTTTTTTGAGTGTATGGGCTTTCTATGTGTCTCATTTTGTTTTAAAATTTCTTGGAGAAGAAAAAAAATCAGCTTAGAGAGACACAGGGAAAGAGGTGAAGACGGCATACCAAAAGTTTAAAAACATGTTATTGTCCAGCACTGCAGAACACCAGACCAACCTACTCAGCATCTCACCTTTAGCAGGAGCCCAAAGTCACTCTGCAGCGCCTCGGTCACACCACGGTTACGCAGCTTCTCCCTCACGTGGTGCTCGCCCGCAGTCCCGCCGCCAGACTGGTGCCTTAGCAATGACTTCAGCACAGTTCCAAAAGGGTCCACTGAAACAGACGGGTCAAACATTTCTAAATCAAAGTAATCACTAAAAAACTGCCATCTGGTGGGTGTGGTGTCACAGACCTGTAATCCCAGCACCCAGGAGGCTGAGGCAGGAGAATTGCTGGGAGTTCAGGCCTCATTTCCCCTTTATGCCATCCAGGCCACCAGCTGCTCTAGGGTAGGTCTTCCTCACCCCAGGGTGTGGAATTGCAGAGCTGATTTAGCTAAGCTTCTTTTAACTAAACCTCCCAAATGGACATGATCAGTCAACCATCAAACTGTGATTACAAATATGCACCACCATACCCAGTGGTTTTACTTTCTCATTAGTTTTTACAATGTGTGTGTGAAACAGTTTTCTCATTTCTTACTAATTGGTCAGTTGGTTTGTTTCTTTTGGTGTTTTGTGGCAGGGTCTCACTCTGTAGTCCAGGCTAGCCTCAAACTTGTGATCCTTCGGCTTCAGCCTCCCCAGTGCTGGGATTATAGGAAAGAGCCATAACATTTGCCTCTCAGTTCTCTTTCAAACTTTTCATGATATCTATTTATTTAAAAGAAATAATAATCAGGGCTGGGGATATAGCTCAGCGGCACAAGCACCTGCCTGGCAAGCACAAGGTCCTGAGTTCAATTTCCAGTACCCCCCAAAAAAGAAATAATAATCAGTTACTATATACTGCATGTACCAAGTATGCCTGATATTTTCTCATCTCTTTCCTCCTTTTTCTTTCTTTCTTTCTTTTTTTTTGTACTGGGGCTCGAACTCAGGACCTTGTGCTTGCCAGGCAGGTGCCTGTGCCACTGAGCTATATCCCCAGCCCTTTCCTCCTTCTTCAAGGTTTTAAAAAACTGTACTGAAAATTTTCATTCTTAGGTAGGTAGATTTATTTATATTACACCTTCTGACTCCTAGATTAATTTTTTTTTTTTTTTAGACAGGGTCTTGCTGTGTAGTCCAGGCTAGCCTTGAACTCAGTTTAGCCCACATTGGCCTAAAACTCACAGCAATCCTCTTGCTTTAGCCTCCCGAGTGTTGGGATCACAGGTGTGCACCATCACACCTGGCCTGTAGATGTATTATTTTAGGAAAGGGTGACTCTGTACTCCTTGCTGCTAAAAAAGGTTAACATTTAGCCATGTTTTCTTCTTTTATTTTAATGACTTCATATTTTAATCATTTGGAATTTGATATAAAGGATAAGGCAGGGGTTAATATTTTTTCAAATATCTAACCAGTTCTCCCAAAAATATTTATCTTTTATCCTTTATTATAAAATACTACAAAAGATGAGCATAAAAAATTTTTTTAAGTGACATATACACATAATTCACTAACAGTCTTAGAAAAGGAGAAAATTCTGTCATTTTCAAGAAGAAATAACCTGGAGGACATTATGCTAAGTAAAATAAGGCAGCCACGGAGAGACAAAAATAATAATAATGATAATAATAAAATAAACTTTGCTATTTTAATAATATGTAGCATAGGTTTAACTTTTGAATTACCTACCATACTCCATCAATCTGTCTAATCCTATCACAGCATAAGAGTCTGTAGACTAATCTAGCTTTATAACAAATTAAACCAGTAATGGTGAACCTTTCAGAGACAAGTGCCCAAACTGCAACCCAAAATACCCTTACTTATCACAAAGTGCCAACACTGCAATTAAACCTGAAGACTGAGGTTTTAGTTTAGAAAAACAACTCATACGTTAACATCTTTGGTCTTACAAGGAAAAACAAGTAACACATGTGCCATAGGTTTGCCACCACTACTTGATGTTACAAGGTCTTCCCTAATTAACGTTCTTCTTAGATTTTTCCTGGTTGTTCATTATATATTTAATCTTCACGATGTACCCTGAAACTTTTTTAATGTTACTGGGGATCAAACCACAAATTGTCAGGTTCCAAAAATATCCTATTATAATTTACATTGATGTTTTGTTGGATAGGTCTATAAATGAACAAAAAAGGCAATTTTACTACATTGTCTTAAGTGAGGGAAAAATGAAGACCTGACCACAATCTCTATGTAGCATGAGGCATTCAATAAATGTTACCTATTCCTATCCAAAAATAATGTATAGTTACATATAAACATTTATTCTTCAAAGAGAAAGTCAATTAATCAGAAAACGAAACTTACATGTCCTGTTGAGGTTGATATGCTGCTTCAGTACTTCCACAGTGCCCAGGCTAACCACAAGGCGCCTGCCAAACCAGAAAGAAACCACAGGTCCGTATCTCTCGTGTAGATTAACCAGGAACTCATGCAAACTTCCACTGGTTATGATATCTGGAAGATTGCCATCTCTGTTAAAAAATAAAATAGCATTTAACAATACAACATCTTTGAAAAATGCAGAAAAACCACAGTTGACTCTGAATTAACTATGTCAATAGATAAGAACAAATGTCCACAAAATTTAAACTATTCCAAAATCCAAACCGCAATTATATTTGCCTTCTTGCTGTGCTTCTATAGTTATATTTAGATACAGTTTTTTGTGAGAATTTTGAGAATTCATAACACTTCAAACCGAGGAGGAAAGCTACACCAGGAACGTCTGACATGGATTCTGGAGAATATACAACTTCTGCAGCACTGCATTCTGAGCCAGCAACAGCCATCACCACCGGCTGATGAAGATTATGGGATCACATATGGCAATGTTTTCATCTTTCTTTCTAAATTCTATTTTCAGCTTTCTCTGGCAAGGGGACGTGAAAGCAATTCATAGTTTGGATTTATACAGACATCTTTTTAGTTCTTAAAGTTTACAGTGTATTTGCAGAGGTAAACTTAAAAGTAAACAAGGAATTAAACAAGATGAATAATCTAAAAATGTGGCTTAACTTTGTTAACAAAAATGAAAAATTGACTCTACTACAAAAAAGTACTCACTTTTCTTCAGTTGGAGCAATCCCTGGAATCCCTGCAGCTTGTCTGGAAGCCTTAAGGGAAAAAAAATTTTTTTTGTTTTGTCTTATTTTGTTTTGTTGAGACAGGATTTCACTATGTAGTCCAAACTGGCCTTGAACTCACTAAGCAGCCCAGACTACCTTTGAATTTGTGAACCTCCTGCCTCAGCCTCCCCCTCCTAAGTCCTGGGATTACAGGCATGTGCCACCACACCTGGCTTAAAAGAACAGTTTTGTACAATGAGTTATCATATATCGTACAAATGAGATGACTTTATCAAGACAGGTAGAACCTTAAACAATGTCTTTCCTACTCAGTTGAATCTAAGAAATAATTTCTATATTAAACTTTAAAAATTTATATGAGAAGGAATTTAATATTCCTTTGTCAAATAAACTAAGGTATTCAAAGACTACTCACTCTACATCAATTAATATCTATCAGGTACATTTTATTTGTTTGGGTTTTTTTTTTTTCTTTTTTGAGACAGGGTCTCGCTATGCAGTTCAGACTGGCCTTGAGCTCACTTTGTAGCCCAGGCTGGTCTCGAACTCACAACGATCGTCCTGCCTCAGCCTCCCGAGTGCTGGTATTACAGGCATGCGCCATCACGCCCGACCAAGCACATTTTAATATATATCAAATACATTGGTCTCAGCTGGTTTGGCTTAAAAAAAATATGTCCATGCTTGTAACAGTTTCAATCCTGCAATAATTATGCTCCTTATAGTCAAAGAATTTACCCAACTACAACATGATTGCTGTGGTCTAAACGTTTGGGTCTCACAAATCCACAGGTTGAACCTTATTCAGGGTGACAGGATTACCAGCTGGGGCCTGCTGAGGTGCTGGGACAGAGGGCAAAGCCCACCCTATGTAATTAGCGCCCTGATAGAAAAGCTGGGGAGGAGTATGCTCTTGTCCGACATGAGGACACTGCACCACCCCGGGACGAAGAAGCAAGCCCTCTCCAGACACAGACTTCAGCCTCTGTAACCAAGAGAAATGCAGTCTGTGTTTCTAAGCCGCTCAATTTACTGTATCATGATGCAATCACAGCCCAAAAATTCTAAGAGAATAATA